TAACCTTATAGTGTGTAACATATTGTAGTACATGCATTAGTTAAATGTAAAAAAAGTTAGTACAACTCACCCTTCTGGCCATATGTTTTCAGAGTAAACAACACAAATTTGATGAAGTTTTCTTCCACAATCCATACAGTCTACAAAGCTGCAGGTTAAACAATAATATAATGAGCTTAACTGAAATAAAGTAAATACTTTCACAGAAAAGTCCATTTGCCCATACACATATTTTTATAGATATATTAACTACAAAATTATCAGCATGAGTACGTAATGACCTAAATAATTTTTTTGAATTATTTATTATTTACGTTTTTCTTACTCTATGTATTTTAAGGCACTGGGGTTATTTACCACAATACTTTGAATATGAGATGTATTTCCTAATTAGGATAAGATCTGTAGTCATAACTTTCTAACTGTTATTGTGGGGATTACTACCACAGACCCGTAACCAGCTGTAAATGATGAATTGTAGGTTGGCTTATAATCTTGTGGTTTTTAGCAACCATGTCATTATCCCCCTTCCATGAAAATTGTTCTTAATTAATTTGCACAACAGTTTTTCAATGGTGTTCTCAAAGTTAACTGAAGATGAGAACACAATCCTAACACCTTTTGGGTGCCATTACTAAAATTAACTCCTGCCAAGGTTATACCTTTTGCATCTATTTTGCAAGAAGTTAAACCACTTTAAAAACTTTATCCTGCACAATTTTAACCTAATAATTCTTGTAATAAGTTATTTTAATCCCTGGTTTGATGCTTACATGTTTACAGTTTTCTTGGAAGAGATAATACAATCTCTACCACTTCTGGTATGTTAATGTAAACACTTTATCTCTGTGATTATTCAATATGAACTTAATAACGTATATCTAAAGGAAAAATGTTATTCTTATTAACACTCAAAGAAAAAACTTTTCTTTTAAAAATAAGACAGAATTATTACTTTAGAAAATTATTAATACAAGCTTTCTTTAAAAAAAGCCAAGTATTTTACTTACGGTTCCATTTCTAAATGATTATTTTTCTTTTCTTCAAATTGATCCTTAGGAATTGTACTAAAAAAACAGCAAAAAAAAAAAGGTGAGTAAATGTTTGAGCTACAGAATTACTTTAAACTGAAAAATTTCTGAGAGCAATACTGTCTAGCTTGACTTTTATTTTTCTATTTAATTCTTTTAAGTTCTTCAACAAGAATAAATAACATTTTTGGTAAGTGTGAGCAAGCCCATAACATATTTTAAAGAGCATAATATACAGATGGAAAATTGTTAAAATAAAAATGTCTTTATAGTTTTATTACTTATAACTCTCAATATAGTGGGTATATCTTCACGAAATTTGTCAGTCTTTCAGTTAGTATTACAACTCTTTCACATACAAAAAGTCATATTTCTTAGTGAAGTATTTTTGATAAAATAAAATAAAGATCTGTTCATGAATATATTGAGTATTTGTTTTCAATAGTCCGTGTGCGAAGTAATTTTCATGTTTAAAAATACTTTTCCTCATCTCAAAAATCTCAAATTTCTTTTGTGTAATCCCTAAAACTTCCTAAATGAATTTCAAACGTTTTTTTCAGTAAAACTTTATAGTTTA